CTCATAGGTTGTGGCACTATTAGACAGTGTGGCTTTGTTGCAACAAGTATGGACTTTCTGGGTCACTGTGGGGGTGGGCTTTTAGGTCTTATATATGCTCAAGCCATGTACAGTCTCCCAGACCACTTCCTGTTGCCTGTGGGTCAAGATATACAGTGCCCAGCTCCTTCTCCAGCACCATGTCTGCTTGAATGCCACCATGTTGCACCATGATAATAATGGACTAAACTTCTGAAAATGTAAGCTACCCAAACGAAAAGTTTTCCTTTATAAGAGTTGCCATGGTCGTGGTGTCTCTTCACAGCAATAGAAACCCAAACTAAGGTAGTATATGATTTATTACCCTTTGGAGAGGAAGCGTTATGAGAAACACTGCTAAATTTACTTTTGATTGAATCATATGATGTATAGGCTTATTGTAGTTGCTCCTCAAGTGTTAATAATAGGAAGCCTAGTATTCCACTATAGTCATTACTTCATAAAACATGCAATAACCGCTATTTAAGTCAAAGTGTTGATTTCACGACAAATAATACTGTAATTGTGTATCAACAAACACCTATAAAAGTAAAATTAAATACAATTCTTGGAAATTTCCTAACTTTTAGAAAAACATTCTTTAGAAAAACATCCATCTTATTTGGGTGTACAGACATAGCTTTGGGGGTCACAGATGTAGGGTTGGTGGAGGATTATGTCTGTGGATATGTAAGGAAGGTGAAAGTTTCGTGGACTGGCGTCCTGCCTTCCTGTTCCTCTGGTTGGTGTGACATGAACATGAGCAGGGAATGTCTGCCTGAGTTGAGGGCTGGAACACAGCCATAATCCTCTTTTTTTTTTTCTGAATGGGAATGTATCCTGTGCCATTGTATGCTGAAAATCCTTAATTGGTTTCTTGATTTTACAAGATGTGACAGTCAAGAGATTGTCTTGAGTGTCAGAAGAAACTTTGGACATTTGCACTGTTTGGGCTGTTACAGATTATGAGGATCATTAAAGTTAAACTAAATGCATTTTCATTTTTTCTTTTTTCTTTATATTTATTCCTCTCTCGTACTATATATCCTGACTGCAGCCTCTCCTTCCTCCATTCCTTCCAGTCCCCCCTCTCCAAATCCTCATTTCCCCAGATCCCTGCTACTCCGTTTCCCTTCAAAAAAGAGAGCTTGCCTCCCAGACATATCAACCAAACATCATAACAAAGTACAAACCTTCATATCAAGGCTGGACAAGGTAACCCAGTAGGAGGAAAAGGGTATCAAGAGTAGGCAAAAGAGTCAGAGACACCATGACTCCTGTAGTTAGGCGTCCCACAAACACCCCAAGGTAAACAGCCATAGCATGTATGCAGAGAACCTGGCACACAGACATCCATGTTCTATGATTCCTTCAGTTTCTCTGAGTCTCTATGAGCCCTGCTTAGTTGATACTGTGGGTCATGTTTTCCTGGTTTGCTCAACCTCTCTGGCTCCTACAGACATCACCCTTCCTTCCATAAGATTCCTAGAGCTCAAGCTCATGTTTGGATAGGGATCTCTGCATGTGCCCCCATCAGCTGCTGGAAGAAACCTCTCTGATGACAATTGGGCTAGGCACTAATCTATGATTATAGCAGAATATAGATGAATCATTTCATTGTTTGTTTTTTTCTTCTTCTTGATCAGTTTTATTTGGTTCTACCCTAGTTCTCAGAGCCATCCAAGTTTTAGTTCCTGGCCATTCAGGCGGTGTCAGGCATGGAATTCCTCTCACAGCTTGGGCTTCAACTTAGCCATTGGTTGGCCATTACATAATCTCTGAGCCACCATTGCCCCAGCATATCTTGCAGGCAGGACAAGTGTGAGTTGGATGTTTTGTGGCTGGCTTGGTATCCCAGTCCCATCACTGGGAGGCTTATGTGATTACAGAAGATTACTGGTTCAGCCTCCCTTATTCTTGATTACTGGGAGTCCTCATTAGGGTCACCCTTATAGGTTCTAGGAAGTTTGCACTGCACTGTTTCTATATCCCCCACTAAAAGCTCCCCTATTCCAGTCATCTCTCCCTGTATTCTTCTCCTTTGTCCCTTTCTTATTTACCTGATCTCTCCTGTTCCCATCCCTACCTGCCTCTGGTACATGCACAAAATCTATTTCCTCTCCCAAGGAAGATATATGCATCTCCCCTAGATTAGCGTCTCTGCATCTATGAATTGTACTGTGATTAACTATTATTACTGTGATTGTACTTTACTTAATTGCTAATATCCACTTATAAGTTAGTGAATACCATGTTTGTCATTGTGCTTCTGAGTTGCCTAACTCAGGATAATAAAGACCTCAAACTAGACAACAACAAACCAAATAATCCAATTATAATGGAGTACACTTCTAAACAGAATTCTTAGTAGGAATCTAAAATGGCTGAGAAACACTTAAAGAAATGTTCAACATCCTTAGCCATCATGATTATCAAAACTACCTGTCAGAATGGTTAAGATCAATAACACAAGTGACAGCTAATATTGTCTTTTTTTTATTTTCCAATTTAAATTTAGATAAGAAACGAGGTTGCTACACAAGTCAGTTCCAGGTCCCTCTCCCATTCCCTCCCCTCCTCCCGTGCCGACAGCTAATATTGTCAAGGACATGGAGCAAGGGGATTCATTGCTGTTGCGAGTGCAAACGTGTACAGCCAAGGTGGAAATCAATATGCAATTGTAAGAAAATTGACAGTCAGTTTACCTCAAAACACATCATTACCACTCTTGGGTACATACCCAAAAGATGCTCTTCCATCCTACCACAAGAGCACTTGCTCAGCTACATTCATAGCAGCCTTATTCTTTTTTTTTTTTTTTTTTTTTACGAGACAGGGTTTCTCTGTATTGTTTCGGAGGCTATCGGTCCAGCCTGGCCTCGAACGCACAGAGATCCGCCTGCCTCTGCCTCCCGAGTGCTGGGATTAAAGGCGTGCACCACTACCGCCCGGCCATAGTAGCCTTATTCTTGATAGCTGGAAACTGCTATGTCTGTGAGAGACCGTGTTGGTTGATGGTTGATATGGGGAGGCTCCTCCACTGAGGGTACCAACATCCCTGGGATGGAAAAGGGAGCTATCTGAGCATGAGACAGTGACTAGGCAAGCGAGAAAGCCGGGAAACGCTCTTTGCCCATTACCTTTGCCTTCAGTTTGCTAGTTTGAGTTTCTATCCTAAACTCTCAAAATGGTGGATTGTAACCTGACAGAATCAGTCAAAAAATCCTGTTTTTTACCTGAGAATCTTTTGGATAATGGATTAAATCACAGCAATAGAGAAGCATGTTAGAACAAAAACAGAACACCAGAGATTATTTTGTTGCTAGGTAGAACCTGGGAATGTTGTCTTTTGAAAGAATGTGGAAGGTATCAAGTCTTTAGGTGGCAAAAACCATAGAAAGTTATACGCAGAACTTAATTGGTTGTCCTTGTAGGACCAAGAAGATGGGGATGTTGAGAGTAATGGCAGAAAGTGGAGACTGAGATCATAGGATTTCAGTTATAAATAGACTTCATAAAAAAAATTGATGCTGGCCCACAAGTGCTAGGATTAAGATAGACAAATTCCTGACTTTTTTTTTTATGTTATTGTGCAATGGACCTGGAACGTAGGTTTTATCCATGTCTGGCATATGCTGTTGTACTGATCTTCACTGATATCTTAAATTTTAAAATTTGGCAGAGGATGTCATTCTGTTTGCCAGGATGGCATGTATTCATGGCATTAATACTGCTTGAGCTTTCTGAACCATTGGATTACAAGCATATCACCTTCTTCCTGTTGTGCATGCTTTGAATTTTTTTTTTGGTTTTTTATGAGACAGGGTTTCTCTGTATTGTTTTGGAGGCTGTCGGTCCAGCCCGGCCTCGAACTCAAAAGATATCCGCCTGCCTCTGGCTCCCGAGTGCTGGGATTAAAGGCGTACGCCACCACCACCCGGCATGCTTTGATTTTTTTCAGTGAAAATGTGTATTTTACCTGTTTGCATGGATGTGTACCATGTGGATACCTGGTCCTCACAGTGATCAAAAGATGGTCTCAGAATCCCTGAACTTGGAATAATGGATAGTTGTGATCCCCCATGTAAGTACTGGCAATGAGCCCACCTATATGCAATACCAGCAAGAGCTCATTACTACTGAGCCATCTCTCTGCTCTGCATTGATTATTTATGATCAGCATTTATATTGCCAATATTTTCATCTGTCCATTTGTAACTGTCTAAACATGCAGTGCCTTTTAGTAAAATCTTATTGATGTTACAGTTTAAATTGAAGCACTTCAGGTCTCTGGAAGATTAATACAGAACTGGAGTGAATGCATAGCTCTGTAGAAATGTCAGTAAAAACCTCTGAGTTCTTTCTTTTTTATTTGTTTGATTTTTATACAGGAGACAGGGTTTTAATACGTACTTCTGGTTGTCATGGAACTGACTGCATAGATTAGGCTGGCATTCAATTCTGAGGTAGATAGGCCTGCCTCTGACTTCTAAGGGGTTAAACGTGTGAGCTAATACAACCAGCTTGTTCATCTTATTTTTCTTTTTTGTAGTTAGTAATTACCATACATTTTTTCTCATGTGTACTCTACATTATTGATTTATTTGCTTTTCTTTCTCAGGTTTTTAATAGGCATTTCTCTTGCGAAGTGATATCCCATTCACAAGGTACATAAATAGCAGAGGTGAACCTCCTATTCAGTTTCCTTCTAAAGTGCCTTGATGATTACATTATAATATCTATGTCATGGAATAAATGTGGGAGCACCAGAATTATATGGCTGTATTATCAAAAGAAGTATACATTTACAATGTTGTCAGTATCATGTTTTCTCCTAAAGTGCCTTGGTGATTACATTATAATGTCTATGTTATGGAATAAGTGTGGGAGAACCAGAATTATATGACTGTATTGTCAAAGTATACATTTACAATGTTGTCAGTATCATGCTTTCTGTTATATACATGTATGGGATATTTTAGAATGCAGTGACCTATGACGATGTGCATGTTGACTTAAGTGGGGAAGAGTGGGCTTTGCTGGATCCTTCCCAGAAGAGTCTCTACAAAAATGTGATGCTGGAGACCTACATGAACCTCACTGCTATAGGTAAGACTGAATTTTCCTTCATATTTTAACATAAGGGGGCAACTGTTTCTTGGTTATTGATGCTCTTCTGTAATCATGACTGGGACTGAGGAAAGATGGTGTGACTAAATCAGGCATGGTTCTAAGGTTCACTGAAGATAGTAACTTAAACTTTGCACCATTTTCTGGTACTATATTTTAGGATACTGTTGGGAAGACCATAATATTGAAGAACATTTTCAGAATTCTAGAAGACATGAAAGGTAATTTTCATGTGCAAGCCAATATAAATGTCCCTCTGAAAAAATTATAATGTGTCCTGGAAGTTTGAAACAAAAGCAACAATGTAAATAAGCACAGCTTTGTGTGTATGTACTGGTGATTACTAAATTCTCACAAAACCATATACCTCAATTTCAGGTAGGTGAATTGTATTTTAAACATGTTCTTTCAAGAAAGAAGACAAGGAAACAATGTCTTAACGGATATCACCATTTGAATCATAACACCATCAGAACTGTGCTGTAAAACTGGGAATCTTTTTATTTTTATATCATTCATATTACAGAAGATATACACATTGAAGAGGTAATAAGTATATTTCAAAAACATTCTAGTAAACAAATAGACCATAGCAACACTAGTGTTGCTCGTATACTTGTTGTGACTGTGCTAAGTTTAGTGAGAGGGGCAGAGTAAAGAGTCAAGGGGCAGTTGTTATGAAGAAACCTTAATCCCTATACCATGTCTTTGAGGAAAGTCAAACTGTGTGAATTGGTATGGAAACTTTTTATTTGTTATTCTTCCTTTACTAGGTATATCACATGTCACTCTGGATAAAAGCCATATAAGCAGAAATATGGAAAAATGTAATATACTTCTCTCTAAGAACAATTAGAAGATCTGGAGCAGTCTCCACATTGAGTTTACTTATTGAATTTGATGCAAGTGTAGAAGTAATTGGTATTCCAGCTTCAACTCACACTGCAGAACACCCCTGTATACTAGGACTGTGTAAATATTTCTGTTTGTCCTAGTTCATTTGACAAATGTAGTATGAGTCAAAGTATAAAAAAATTTATAAATGCAATAAAAGTGATAAAGCTCTTAATTTTTCCAGTTCTCTTCAAATACATGAAAAATCTCATAGAAAATAGATTATATAAATGTGAACCATGTAATAAAGGATCTTACCATCACAGGTGTCTTCAAAGATGCAAAACAACCCTTAATGAAGAGGAACAACATGAGTATAAACACAGTGATAAAGCCTTAAGATCTGATTTCTCTTTATAATTGGACCAATTGGTAAAATTAATTCATACAGATATAAAAAGACAACAGTGTATTGAGTGTGGTAATGGTTTTACATGTGCCAATTATCCTTGCAGGCATGAAAGAAGTCATACTGGCGAGGAACCTATATATATTCAACATGTTAAAGCCTTTGCATGTGACAGCCATCTTCAAAGACATGAAAGAACACATACTGGAGAGAAACCCCATGAATATAATCATTATGGTACAGCCTTTGTAAATCACAGTCATCCTCAAAATCATGAAAGAACACATACTGGAGAGAAACCCTATGAATGTAATCAGTGTGGTAAAGCCTTTGCATGTCACAGTCATCTTCAAGTGCATAAAAGAATGCATACTGGAGAGAAACCCTATGTATGTAATCAGTGTGGTAAAGCCTTTGCATATATCAATAGCCTTCAAAGGCATGAAAGAACACATACTGGAGACAAACCCTATGAATGTATTCAGTGTGGTAAAACCTATGCTCGTCAGAGTGCTCTTCATATACATAAAAGAACACACACTGGAGAGAAACCTTATGAATGTAATCAATGTGATAAAGCCTTTGGATATATCAGTAGTCTTCAAAGGCATGAAAGAACACACACTGGAGAGAAACCCTATGAATGTATTCAGTGTGGTAAAGCCTTTGCACGTCAGAGCGTTCTTCAAATACATAAAAGAACACACACTGGAGAGAAACCCTATGAATGTAATCAATGTGATAAATCCTTTGCATGTCATAGTCATCTTCAAAGGCATAAAAGAACACATACTGGAGAGAAACCTTGTGAATGTAATCATTGTGGTAAAGCCTTTACACAACATAGTTATCTTCAAATGCATAAAAGAATGCATACTGGAGAGAAACCCTATGAATGTAATCAGTGTGGTAAAGCCTTTGCACATATCAATAGTCTTCAAAGACATGAACGAACACATACTGGAGAGAAACCCTATGAATGTAATCAGTGTGATAAAGCCTTTGCTTGTCATTATACTCTTCAAATACATAAAAGAACACATACTGGAGAGAGACCCTATGAATGTAACGACTGTGGTAAAGCCTTTGCATGTCACAGTCATCTTCAAAATCATGTAAGAACACATACTGGAGAAAAACCCTATGAATGTACTCAATGTGGTAGAGCCTTTGCACAACACAGTCATCTTCAAAGGCATAAAAGGACACATACGGGAGAAGAACCCTATGAATGTAATCAGTGTGATAAAGCCTTTGCACATATCATTAGTCTTTAAGGGCATGAAAGAAGATACACTGGAGAGAAACCCTGTGAATGTAATCAATGTGGTAAAGCCTTTGCAAGTCACAGTCATCTTAAAAGGCATAAAAGAACACATACTGGAGGGAAACTTTATGAATGTAATCAATGTGGTAAAACCTTTATACAATATATTAATCTTCAAATGCATAAAAGAACACATATGGGAAGGAAAGCCTTTGCATGTATCAGTAGTCTTCAAAATCATGAGAAAAGTCATAATGCAGAGAAACCCCATAATCCAGAGTTAAAAGGACAGTGAAAGAAACACACTTTGGTCCTGAAACCAGAGGCAAAGAAACACATTCTACCCCTCACCAGCTGAGCATGAAACTAACCAGTCCCTGAGCAGGAAAGCTGGATCTAGGCACCCAAATCCCTACAAATCTCAACTGAGAGCCCTATTTGACCTCACCACCAGCCAATCACCAAAACTCTTGACCATTCAGGCCAAATGTCAATAAAGGAAACAGACAATAAAGGAACAAAAGACCCATCCCACAGAGAAATCATAAGGAGCAACAACTGTACCTATAACTATCCCAAACACAGATGGATAAACAGTAATGTAGCAATACATTTAACAAGATAAAGAGCAATATGGCATCACCAGAACCTAGTGGTTCTACAACAGCAAGACCTTAACATCTCAACTTGGATGAAGCAGAAGAAAACAATCTTAAAAAATAACTTTATGAAGATAATGGAGGCCCTTAAAGAGGAAATGAAAAATTACCATAAAGAAATCAAGGAAAAGACATACAATTGGAAAGAATCAATAAATCCCTTAAAGATAGCTGAGAAAAAAATAAACAAACATGTGAAGAAAACAGTTCAAGACTTAAAAATAGAAGTAATAAAAAAATACAAACTGGGGGAATTCTAGAAATGGAAAATATGGGTAAACAAGTAGCAACTACGGATACAAGCATAATCAATAAAATACAAGAGATGGAAGAGAGAATCTCAGTTATTGAAGATAGAATAAAGGAAATAGATTCATTGGTCAAACAAAATGTAAGCTCCAACATTTCTTAACACAAAACATCCAGGAAATGTAGGACAGCATGAAAAGACCAAACCTAAGAATAATACGGATAGAAGAAGGAGAATTCCAACTCAAAAGCATAGAAAATGTATTCAACAACATCCTAGGACATGTCTATGGAGATACAAGAAGTTTACAGAACAACAAATAGACTGGACCAAAAAAGTTACCTCTCCACATAATCAAAACACCAAATAAAGATACAGATAAACATACAGAGCAGAAAAGGGAGAAGACCAAGTAACATTTTTTTTTTGGTTTTTCAAGACAGGGTTTCTCTGTATTGTTTTGGAGGCTGTCCTGGAACTCGCTCTGTAGAGTGGACTGTCCTCGAACTCACAGAGATCCGCTTGCCTCTACCTCCCGAGTGCTGGGATTAAAGGCATGCACCACCAACGCCACTTGACCAAGTAACATATTAAGGCAAACCTATCAGAATCACACACAACTGTAAAAGGAAGCTTTTCCTTGAGAGAAGCCTTCCCGCCAGCGTGGTTCTAGAGCCGCATCAATCCCAAATAAATGCACAGGAGGCTATATTAATTATGAAGCTGTTGGCCTTGCTTGTTTCTTACTGGCTAGCTCTGACTTAAGTAATTACCCCATAATTGTTAATCTAAGTATGTCTCTTACCGGAGAAGTTTCCGGGCTTCCTACCCCATGGCGTTACATCTCGACTCTTTCATGTTTCTCCTTCCCAGAGTCCTCCTGGACTCCTAGTCCCACCTATCTAGATTCCTATTGGCTCAACAGTGCTTTATTGACATAAGACTTCCCCAACACACAACTTCTCCATAGAGACTGTGAGAGCCAGAAGGTCCTGCACATTTTGCGGACATTAAGAAACCATGGATGCCAGCCTAGACTGTTATACCCAGCAAAACTTTCAGTCACTGTGGACAGAGAAAACAAAATATTCCGTGACAAAACCAGATTTAAACTACCTATCCCTGTCCATCCCTACAGAAAGTACTAGAAGGAAAACTCCATCCCAAGGAAGTTAGCTGCACCCACGAAAACAAGCAATAGATAATCTCACAGTAGGAGTTCCCAAGGAAGGGAAATGCACACACACTATACAAACAACAAAACCAAAAAAATAACAGGAATTAACCATCACTGGTCATAGTACCTCTTACTATCAATGGTCTTAATTCACCTATAAAAAGACACTAACAGAATGGATATGAAGACAGAATCCATCCTTGTACTGCATACAAAAAAATACACCTCAACTTCAAAGGCAGACATTGCCTCAGAGTAAAGGGTTGGGAAAAGACTTTCTAATCAAATGGACTCAAGAAACAAGCTGGTGTAGCTATCCTAATATCTAACAAAATAGACTTCAAACTAAAATTAATCAAAAGAGATGGAAAAGGATATTTCATATTTTTTCACAAGAAAGATCAATCAATATGACATCTCAATTCTGAACATTTATGCCCCAAATATAAGGGCCCCTGCATTTGTAAAAGAAACATTACTAACACTTAAATCACACATCAAATCCTACACACTAATAGTGCAAGACTTCAGCACCCTACTCTCACCAATGGACAGGTCTGCCAGACAGAAGCTCAACAGAGAAATAAGGAAACTAATAGATGTTGTGATTCAAGTGAACTTAATAGACT